GGATCACCAGCACCAGAAGGAAGATCACCAGCACCAGGAGGATCACCAGCACCAGAAGGAGGAACAGCTTATGAAGGTGATTGAGCTACTGCATGAAGAGATGAAGCAGCTGGAAGAGGTCTTCTTACTGGTGAAGCAGCAGGAGGAGGTCCTCCACGCCCACCTCCTTCCGAATTGGTTTCCCTTCCCTTACCCTTAGTTGGCCTTCCGATCCCCTTTTCCCTAGGATGTCTCCACTGCCCTCCTCAACCCTTGCGAGTCCCCCCTCACCCCTACTATTACGTGGCGACTCGTTGAGGTTACTGAGCGGAATTTGAGTCCCTCAACCGTTGGCGGAGAATCCGTGAAGCCTGGCGAGAAAATGATCTTCTCCCTGATTCCGTACTAGGACGCTCCGGATCCATCACACACCATCCGCTTCGTTCTCTTGCCCACCCATCCGGACTACACCTTTTATAAAGGAATAATTACTCAGTTTGTGGAGAGACAGTTCCCTTCGATTATTCCTAAATCACTCGTGAAAATTCTAAGTGACATGATATTGAGATACCCACATATTAAAATCCTCCTCCCCAGCTCCATGTTCACGTATCAAGAGGGACTCTTCAACTCCCCACTAGATATTGGATTCGAGTTCGACCCCGATGAAATTACTTGTGAGTTTTAGATTCAGAACGCAGTCGTATCATTCACAGCTGACCCTTCTTCTGCAGATCTAAATATGTTTCATGAAACTTATTACGATATACCAGTAGGACTCGTGTTAATGGTTAAATTGCGATGCGTCCTTGCTGTGGAATGGCTTGAACGATTGTATAGTATTGGGATAAACGTCAACTTCCTGGACAATGTAGAATTCAAAAAAGTGTAGCTTTCTATTTTCGTAAGGCAGCTATGTCCATCCCCAGGAAAAGACGATAACGGAGGAACTTTAACTGACGATTATTTGGTGTCCATCTTATTGCCCTCTCCTAACGAAGAAGACTGGTGGGTACCCACTGAATCTAGCGATGGCTTGTGGGCCATCATTTATACGGACTTGCAAATCCGACCGTGGGTGGTTTCTAAACTAGTCCTGAGAGAGACAGATGACAAGTTTTGTCTTAAGGTTTCACTAGACATGATTCATGAAAATCAGCTCCAGCCATTGAAAGCATCATGTGTCAAAGTTATTAACTTTGCATCCATGACAAATGAGGTAAGAGGTATTCTCTGGCTAAGATATCATCTTTCAATGCCCTTGTTACAGGAGCACATCAAGAATAATGTTAATAATTATAATGGAGTTGGCGGAAGATTGACCCCGTTTGAAGTCTCCGAGATCTTGACTAATGTCATTGCCTCCTTCATTCTGGAGGTCATGACATATAAATGTGAACACTGTAACGGAACGCTATCTAATTGAGTGAAAATTCGTCACTTCGATTCTCTCAAATTCGTTCCTTTCTCCGCTGTAGTAAATTTAGTATCCTGTATTTTGCTCTCCTATTTCCACCAGACTAGAGTTTTTCCTTACTTTAAAGCATTGGGTTCACCATAGCCCGTACTACTTGGAACTTTTGTTCCCAGTAGCTGAATCTAAAACAACAACAACGATGGACCGAGTTTGTTTCGCTTCCTTTATTTTTTGTATGGAAATTAATCAGCTTCTGAACATTTGTGGGCCACACAATCAATCACGCAAGTGCAATCTTAAAAATATTTTTTTCTGTCATTATCCTCTCTCTCGTATATGTCTTTTCCGGTCTTTGATTTCCAATTGATCTATTTACCATTGCATAGTGATCATTGGCTCACAGTGAAATTCAGTAGTATCAATGCCTGCCCCTTCTAGGGTGAAGACGGGATACCATCTACTCTGACTATCTTGAGAGTATCTCGAGATGATTTCGGGGCTTAGCGTCCCCGCGGCCCGGTCCTCGACCAGGCCTCCTTTTTGTTACACATCCCCAGGAAACAGCCCGTAGCAGTTGTTTAACTCCTAGGTAACAGGAGCATCATGGTGAAAGAAACTCTGCCATTTGTTTCCGCCTCCGCCGGGGATCAAATCTGGAACCTTAGCACTATGAATCCGGAGCACTGTCCACTCAGCCGTCAGGCTAAGCAATCTTTTTTTTTTTTTTTTCCTCTAATTTCCTCTTTGACATGTCTCAAGTTTTAAACGCAAATGAAGTATGAACAATAACTGAACTCCAATATTCGTATGTTGAATAATTGGGCGAGTCCTCTGAAAATCTAAGTGTTTTTGCGAGTATCGTGCGTACTGATACACATTCAATCTCGCTCTCTTGAACCTCTTGACTTTAACAAATAAATTATCAATCATTTGATGATATGTGTATCTTTGTTCCAACAACTGCTCCTTCAGCTGGATCTCTCTCCCTAGCGACGTACATCATCAATGTAAATGGGTACTGGCACATAAATACTCACCCCTCCCATTGACTCTTCCTCTCCCTCCCTCCCATTCACTTTGCCTATCACTATCTCTGCTTCTCCTTCCCACCTGTTTCTCTGCCCCTTCGCCTCTCACTCCCATTCTCTCCGTCCATCCCGTTCTCCTTCTTTTATTACCCGGTCCTGTTCTCTCTCCCAGTGGGCAAAAAAAAGATTCAAACATCATTCAATGTTATCGACGTTGAGTCTATTATCATTAACATTACTGAAGTCAATTGAACGTCGATAACAGGTGTAAAATCAGGTTTAACACTTTATGGGGCAATCAAACCCACATTTCATAATTCATAGGAGTTACTGGGATTTTGAATAGATGACACTTCTTAAAAGAGGGTAAGACCATCGACCCCCACTCAGGCTGTACAAGCCATATTCATCTGCATCTGCTTCACCACAAATACACTTATAGACACGATCAAAATACACTATGTATTATTCTTAGTGAATGTTGAGCATATAAAGCCGAAGGAAATTCACAAAAGTAGATTTTTTCCTACAAAATTAATCTGTTAAAAAGATCGTTCTAATATACTTATTTGTGTGTAATGAAGGAGTCTGTGATGTTTCTAAAAATATGAAGACATTGGCAGCTTATCAATATTTTGTATTTTTATTTTTTCAATATATACTGAAGAGTGCATGAAAAATTGAAAATGCCAAGAATATTTTATAAAATAATTTTATTTTACATTTTTTCAAAATATTTCATATACAGTACCTTAAAATAAAAAATATAAATCTGAATTATGAAGGAAAGGTCAAATAGGTTTCACTCAATAAGAAACAAAATGATAATCTTTTTGTAACTTGGAACAAGATGGAGTTCGTTGCATGGAACAATCTGCTGATTGTGTACCAACTCTTGCATGACCCTCAAGTGATGCAAATTTTTCTATTTGTGTTCATTTCTGATGCAGAACATTATAGTTTATATCCAGTAACAAATAATAAAACAAAAACAAAAAATAACTGAATTCACCTTTGCACTTATTATTATTTGTTCATGCTTTAGCAAATGGGAAACATACATTAAACAAGACAAGAAACATATTTTAATGTTCAGCAATGTGAAATTATTTTTGTTTTAGAGTAAGAGCTTTTAGTCTCATAAAAATGTAATTAACTGTTTTCTGGTAGACCCTCAATAACTCAGAATTCTTACACTTACGCAATGTTGCCACTAAGCATAAGAATTGTGTCAGGCCTCCAACATCCACACTAACCCACCGAGAGCCAGGACTTGACATCTACCCAAAACTATGGAAATTGGCCATCAAGTCAGGTAAAACAAAACAAATACCACGGCTTGAAAGTCAAGTCTGCAATAAGGAAATATACACATTTCATCTGGGGGGTCAACTTCCACTGGGTTGAAATTAACAAATGTGTGAGATAGTGATTAATGGATTGTCTGGGAAACACCTTTTACTCTTTTGATAGCTACCTAGAGTACTCCATCCATAGCACGGATATTGATCTGTACAGTACTAGTCAATATTGATACAAACTGACGTAATATTGCTCGAAGGCATGGCAAGAAAAAACTAATGCGCAAGCAACAGCAAATCAATAGGGAGAAAAAAAAAGGGGGGCAGATGACTGGAAAACATGTAAAGAGGCCAAGGACACCCAAGAAGTATAGGAGACCCTGCCATGCACAGATAACACTAAGAAGGAGAAGGGGGGATAACCACCATCTTCCCTAATCCAATGGCTGAGGTACCACCCTAGTTGACAGATCAATGAAACCACTCATATTAATCTTTGTGAGGTAAGATAGACACTAGTTGACAAACCAGAGACTGGAACCTTGGACCAAGTAGAAGTAAAATTGTATATTGGAAACACACAAGGAAGGTGGAATAAAACAATTGTGAAGAGGAAAAACAAAATGCCCCGAACAGAATGAAAGTTTCAAGGAAGGCAAACACCACATGAATACAACAAATGGCACATAGGTACTAACAGAAGTCAACTAATCTACACAGTATGGAGCCGGTCGGCCGAGCGGACAGCACGCTGGACTTGTGATCCTGTGGTCCTGGGTTCGATCCCAGGCGCCGGTGAGAAACAATGGGCAGAGTTTCTTTCACCCTATGCCCCTGTTACCTAGCAGTAAAATAGGTACCTGGGTGTTAGCTGTCACGGGCTGCTTCCTGGGGGTGGAGGCCTGGTCGAGGACCGGGCCGCGGGGACACTAAAAAGCCCCGAAATCATCTCAAGATAACCTCAAGAATCAAGTATCTGGCGCGTAAGGCATATGGCAACCTAGGACTCCAGTTAACTGGGGTTGCTGGGAAAATTAGGGGTTGAATTGTTCACCTTTGGCAAATTATCACATGCCTTGTTTTCATCTTCATTTCTTTCAGTCTTCTGTCATCCATCTGACTTTGATGGGGGATCAGAGACCTACCTAAAACTAAAGAACCAAAGTTCCCCCTTGACCTGTAGAACCAGATTCTTGTCCTAGCTCTTGGCACATCGGTGCAGGTCTCACATACCTGCCACAATTTTTAGGCTTGGTGGTAAAGCATGCTACTGAAAAGCTTCCAGAAAATTGTGTTTAGCAAAATAATTATAGTATTTCTAATTTCAACAAAAGTAACTTCACTCTCTAGTACTAACATATATAGCATTGTTACACTGTTCACAAAGTTCACATAAAGCATACATTCCAAATCACATCAAACATCTAATCAGATATAACAACACTTGAATTTTATAAATTTGTTTGTTAAGCATGAATACTTTTTAGACATTTAGGAAAACAATAATTACAGTACAGTAGTCAATTTTAGTTTTAAGCATGAACAATAGTCATTATTAAAGGAGACCTCAGACAGAATAACACACAAGGTTATCTTCATATATTTCATATCCTTTGTGTGAAACTAGGGGTTACACTGAAATATATATCACACTCAGTAGCCCCCAACACAGACTGAAGTAATAATGCATAACCAAATACTGATGCTAAACGGTTTTGCTACTACACTTCCACAGGATATATTGACCATCTTTGGTGGCATATTTGACAAGAACATTGTCTAATCCTCAAAACATTACTAGCTCAACATATTACAACATACATCAATACATTTTCAAACATACATACACTAAGTGCAGGTAAACATCCCTGACTAAGGAAAACATTTCCTTCATACATGCACACGAGTCAAAACATGCAAAACATATTTCCACCAACCTACATAGTAGGGGCGAGACGTCTGTCTTTCTAATTTGCACAACTGGCTGGGTCATCTTGGTTATAAAAAGCAAATCAAAACTCTTAGCACCTCTCAGAATTTTACTCAAATTTAAAATATATAAAAATGTAAATAGATGGCAAGATATTAGAAAAGCAGATTCTAATTTTCACTTCTTCCATCTTGTATACATTTTCATTCATCAAAGGATGCTTTTAGATCTTTCCTACATGGAGCTAAATGTATAATTTATAATCAGACGATGAGTCACAATAATGTGGCTAAAGATATGATGACAAAACCCACAACTTAGCAGATGGAGTCCACATGACTTGATAATGGTCCAGGATGGACTGAAACGTCGTCGCTTCTCCATCTTCCAAGTTGTGGTTTGGTCATTATCTAATTTATAACCAAAAGTTATTACTTATTATTTCACTGCACTGGAATTGGCATTCAATTGATGGAAAAACAAAAACCTCACCACTATTTGACCCCATAAGACTCCATTATTATATCTGTTTACCGATCATCTTTTTTGGTGTGCAGCCTGGATCATTTCTCTCAAGTACACATAAGTTTAGTACACACAAGAGTTTAAGAAGCAGGCATCTAAATAAGAGATTAATATTCTCCTGCATAAGGCCATAACTGAAAGGAAAATAATTAAGAGTTGCAAAGAATGATGTGGTCTATCCTTTTCTTCCCTATGTAACAGTTACTGCATGTATCTTTTAAGTATTTTCAGACTTCCTTAGCACAATTACAGTATGTTTTCCTCATGCTACCATAGTTTAATATTTATTGTTCTTCAGGCCTGAAAAAAATTCACTTTATCTAGATCAATTTGAAGGGCATTACAATTGTCTGTCTCCTATTTTTCCCAGTATCTTAGCATCATTCACAAACATGTTCATATAATTCTGGATTCCTTCTGGTATCGTGAGTTTTGACGCGGCATTAATTTTCTTCTTTATCCATTGTAATTTTACCAAAAATTTTAAAATTTTGTTTACTCAAATGCTTAACACTCACATACTACAAGACGATTTTAACTTTCACATACTGTACCAAAGATATATGCAGGATGAATCATTCTCTGTCTCTTCCACCGCAAGTGACACACTAAAGCCGACTCCAGAGTGCCCTCAAAGTAACCTGTTATCCAAAACTGCAACAAGAGTTAGTTTTCCGGGCAGTCTTGTAGAAGGTTTTAGACTGCATACTCAAATTCTCCGATTTGCTGACTAAATCATCCAATTTTTCTCCTCTCTCCAGTACTGCATTTATTGTTTTATGCTGTGGAGAAAAGAATATGCAATGAACCAAGTGATTAACTATTAATTCTGACTTGGGAATGGTAATGTGAAAAACAACAGATTATGATAACACTTGCAATAATAATAATAATAATACATACATATTTGCGAAAAAATCTAAATTTACTAGGAATTACTTACTTCAGCAAATGATTTAAAGTAATTATTGAAAACATCAAAACAAAACAATGAGTTTCACTATTCCAGAATACATACTGAGACTTGTAATGAACAAATCATTGACAAATAGCACAAGAAAAGGAAGCCCATATTGGTAGCATGTAATATCTTTTGTTAATTGATAATTATCATCAAATACAAAAAGAGCATAGTACAACATCTGAAAAACATTTATATAAATTAAAAAAAACTTTTGACCGTGTTAAAACGTTAACACCATTTAGCTTATAACAAGAAGCCAATGTTGGGTCCAGCAGAGGCTATCACAGGTAGAAGAGTGAAGAAGCATGCTGACTAAGACCTGACGTAACCTTGGCTGCTATGTGTATCACCCATTACAAAGAGCATTTGCCTTGGCATGCCTAATTTCCTTAACTGTTCTGTTGCACCCATGCTTTCTGATGGGTTTTCCCCCACTTGTGTGGTTGATCTCTGATCCCTTCACCCTTTGTAATGCAGAGCAAGCCCAGATTATGACTTTGACGATGCATGGGTATCTAAAGTCTGGTACGTTGGATTAAAGCTTGGCAGTACCAGAGAATAACTCAGGGAGCTACTAAGGGGTCTCTCCCAGAAATGAATATTTATTTACAAAAATTGTTCTCGATGCCTTTCATGTTCCAATTTGTATATTTTAAAATATTTAGAGTTCTTTGCAGTTTGATGTAGGATTAAGATTTCGTCAGGTGCCAATGTCCAGAAACCAGCGACCATCTGGATATCAGTGACTTTACCCTATACTTTATAAATGAACAGTAAATGAAACATATGAACAGTACTGTAATTTTATTTTTTAAGTTTGATTAGTTCTTGGCTACTTTTAGATGAGTAAAATATGGTGTCGCAGCCAAAGATTTAACATTAAATTGGCAGGGAAACGCCTGGATTCCATTAATTGCGGCTGACTTTAAGAGCTAAAATCCCATATGGCTGGTGACGTTATATTCCTTGACAGCCAGGAGGTCTTCTCCAAAATTCAGGCTGAATGTGCTCAACACAAGGATTTAAGCACATTGTCTGTCTTTATGTTAGATGAAATTCATGAACACTTTGTCAAAAGTGTTCATGACAATCCTACAAGATTTAGTTGCTGACTACTTCAGTGAATATCTTGCCTAAAGCTCTACAAGTCCACTCGTGCCTCTTTTGCTTATGATCTTTTCTCCTTTTCTACCTCCTTTTTTTTTCTCTAAAGAGTACATGCAGCATGTCTTGGATGATGCAAGTTTATTTCTCAGTTTATCAGGCATTTAGGCTGAAGCCTGTCTCTTCATCCATCTGACTGTTGACAGTACTGAACATCTGGTCCATTCCTTTATTTTTATGTTGTAAATTGTAAACTGCAAAGGGCTTATTTGCCATGGAAGGCAGCTCCTATTTATATCAAACCATACTCACTCATTTATACTTAACCTCTCTGTGAAACAATTACTGTACAGATGGCTAATAAAAATACTGTATTGTCTACTCCCAATGGCTGGCTCCTGACAATACTGAATGGCTAAAACCCATCCATGAATCTAGCATTGACTGTGTCTATAGTATATGAATCAAACACCTCACTAAAACAAAAATGACAAATATGAATAGTAAAGAAACAAGATAAATTGTCTATATTTGTAAACACTGTGTCCCTTCATATATCTTCGATATTTACAAAAGAGTAATATACTTATATATATATAGTATACTTGCGAAAGTCACGGGCATGAGGATAGACCGCAGGCTTTCCCCTCCCGGAGGGGGGGGAGCTGCGCAGACAGTGGCACGGCAGCGGGGTTGAGACATCTTGCTTGTTTTCGGATTGGGGAGCTCTGCTTGATATTTTGGCTTCGAAAGCAATTTTTAACCAGGAGTTAGTTTTGGGACGCCTACCTTTCTGGGTGCCTAACCCAGTCGATGGCAGACATGGAATGCTCCAACCACATGGGGGGCTTCTATAGGCCATTGCTCCTCGTGACTCTCTGAGGGGCCCAGGTTCTGGCTCATGATCGCTGGTAGGCATAGAACTCCAATTGAATTGACTGATGCCACGGTCTAATACATACATATCAGCCCAATAAGCTCAGGGGAGCCGGAGGGACTCTCCACAGAAATGTTATTAGAGAATTAAAGAAATGAAGTTGACTTGGACAAAAAAAATTATACAGTAATGGGGGAGATAAAAGCACATTATTACTTTACATAAAATGCCATTCCCCTGGGCGTTAAGACCAAGCCATTACCTCCCTAACCTTCATGCTAATGTTTGTATTAGAATTTTTTTTAAAATAATTCATAAAATCATACCAAAATGATCTTGGTCTCTTCCACCTCTTCCTGAACCTTGGTGAGGGAGTCCGCTTCACGGGGGTTCTGCCAACGAGCCAGAGTTGCTGGTAGGTCTGTATATGGAATGTCACTTTCTTCAGCATGTGGCCATAAATGTGAAGGAACTTTGAGTGCAAAGTCATCCAGCACCTGTAAGAAAATGAAACATTAAGAAGATTTATTTGAAATGCTAGTATTAAACCTAGAATACTAGAATACACATGAAGATAATTTTTAGCACTTAGACTGCACACCAATATTTTGTACCGAACTCTCTATGCAAATAAAATTGTTAATTAGCATCCAGGAAGCACAAATATCATAAAATCAATTCTGTCATGGTTCACCTGTGATAGCTGGAAAGTAAGGTAGCCAACCTTGGTAACTCTGTGTCATACGACAGGGCGAGACGTTTTGCAGCAATTTTTCTTTCCCTTTTCTATTCTTATTTCTCGCTTTACTCGTGTACTTTTTCCAAGGTCAAACAATACATTCAGATGACAAGTGAATTTTATGTTTCATATACAGTACAGTACTGTAATGTGAAAAATGCTTGCATACAGTCCTCACCTGCATACTTATGGCAAAAAACCTGTCGTGAATGTAATGAAACGCCAATTTCTGAGCAAGCCTCAATGGCTCCTTGTAGCTACCATCTCTGATGGAGCTATCATCTACCAGGTGACATCAGTCACAGAGCTTTCTGGCCTACCAGGGACCCCCCCCCCCAAAAAAAATAAGGACCATATCTGTCAACATCACCATCCAGTGTTTGAACATGTGGGGCAGCCATACTAGGAGCCCCCTGAACTTTTAACAATGGCAAATGAGTGATTACTATGTACAGTATATATTTCAGGCAAAATGGGTGATACGTGCAGCTTTAAGATTTAGGCTTATAAATAGAATTATATATGAACAAATCCACAAGGATCCTTGTGGATTTGTTCATTTGATGCATCACACTATTGTGATTTCTGTGTGTTAAGATTATATATACTGTATTAGTATGAATAAATACATGGTGTCCATATAAATACATTTATACTCATATATTCATACTGTACATATATTTTCAAAGTTACAGATAATAAACACCAACTTTGACACATAAATACAAACTGTTAGTATGAAAAAATAAATGACTAAAGTGCGGAACAATGAAATAAATTGACAAAGTTATTCCCGTGTGGCACCTCACCTCATTCCTACACAAAAAACATGTCCTTTCACCAGCCCACTACAGCTAAACCCCAAGAGGTAGAGACTATTGACTTGGATTTTTGTCCTTCCTGGATGCTAATTAACAATGTCAACAAAAAAATGATTTTTTTTTTTTCAGATCAATTTTTTTTTCTCACCACAGGGATGTCAGCATTTAATAGTTGTGCAGTGCAAGGGCTAATATCGAGTGACATCCATATAAAATCTTTAGAAAATTTGAATATTACGAGGCACATTAACTCTCCCACAGGTGACCGGAGCATCATCAGTCTATTGCTTGAGGGAGACAGGAACAGCTTATGGGTTAATGTAGGACAATTCATATTACAAAATTTTGATGAGAATTAAAAATACATCTGCTTTGAATTTTCTTACCTTATTAAGCATATTGTGTGCAACTCTATACTGGTACTCATGATCCGAGATAACCACACCAGCTAAGTTGTCAGACCGCACATAAACATGGCACATGTATTCTGCAATTAATAAAAGACGAGGTAGTAGACTTGTTTCTCATAAGAAGCACTGAGAAAATATAATACAATAATGTAAATGGCTCTCAAAAGGATAATTTAATTAGAGTTTATGTTCCATAAACCTGGAACTTATAATGCATTAAACTTTTACTAATACAGTAAGTGTTCAATGTGCATTTAAATGAATTAAGGTTCCATATACAGGAGCGTTTAGTTCATCTTTTATAGACTCATTAAATCAAATATTGACTGGATTGTCCATCGCTTATTCGTTTCGTGCAGTTGCATCTAACACTATACGTGCATTTGTAAAAATAAAATAAAATAAAAGACATGAATCTTGAGGAAGCACTGCTGTACTCGGTGATCAATATTCTCCATAGAAGTGCACAGTAATATCAATCCCTTATATAGCTTTTGAAACTTAAAAGAGGAGAAGCAAGCACTAAACTGGAACAGGACCAAAATCTTCAGACACACCCAACTGCATTAGTAATGTGAACTTTCAAGAAAACCATCAGAAGAGTTTTAGATGTGTATTGGATGTGACAGCTTAGAACTGTGGCGGGCTTTTCGCTTGGGCAGTGTCGCTCGGATGCCAGTCATGTGTAGTTCACCAGGGCAGTTGGAGCCTTATATGTATCGGAAACTGTGTTCAGTGTTACAGGTATTTACTTTAAATATTATCAAGATAGCAAAGAAATTAACATTTAATGAAGAGTGATCCTGGGCGACATAGATTTGAATCGTGGCCGGGTCATTTAGAGTTCTTAGTGATCTATGGCTCACTCGTTTAATATTGTCTGTCTCATATACGTATACACAAACTTAGCACTGCTGGTTTGCTGAAACCAGCATGCCAACAGTCGACTAAGGGTTGTACCAGAGGAATACCCTGAGCCAAATAGGGTATTTCCTGTTTTCTCAAGCAGAAAACCACTCTGGCAAAGTTCAGACTCCTGCACAACTGCTTGACCAACCCCCCAAGTAAACTGGAGCCGATCCAACACAGGATGATGACAATACTGCAGGCCTCTGGACAAAGGCCAGACAAAGCTGGACAAGCAAGTCTAAAGATAGCTGGTATTTAGCATTCAGCTTTCGGGCTTACCAGTGAGCTGGAGTGACTGGAAGCACAACTAGCAGGTGTGGAGACACTGGAATCAGAAGAGAATTGACTTGGGGAGCTGGCTGGGAGCTCAAGCCGGCCAACCTGATGGTGGTACTAATGAGTTTCAAGTTCGTTTGAGTGAATACCTTGGACTTGTTCACAGAGTTCTTTGGTAGTTTTCAAGGTTTCATTTTATGTGAGCCCTTCAAGTTGTCTGTAAATTTTGTCTGCTAATTTTCTGGAGGTTTTCCTGGTGAGGTGGCAGGTATTCACCAGCTCCCTGTGGTTCTCATGAGGGGGGCCAGGTTTGGGTTTGGTCCTGAGTAGGCCAAACAGAACAATTCACGACTGATTTGAGATTTTAGTATGAATCAATCTCAGAAATTTAGCTTCATGGAGCCACAAGGGGTCCTTCTACAGGAAATAATTGGAATGTATTGATTTTTTACTGCATAGTAAAAAACAGCCTGGTTGGTCAGTCCAGCAACCAGGAGGCCTGGTCGACGACCGGGCTGCGGGGACGCTAAGCCCCGGAAGCACCTCAAGGTAGTAACCCTACTAAGATGAGTTCCTAGAAAAACAGGCCTCACTAACAAGTATGATAACAATAAAATTCACTATTAGCCTTAACCACTGCACTGACCCAAACAAATGTCATTTTGAGAGTTGTGCAGTTTTTTACTTAGGCTATATTTTAATGTTTTCCTCACTCTGTGTTTTGAAATGAAAATAGTTGGGTGAAAACATTTTCACATTACCTTTACCTGACCATTTATAAAAAAAATATGTCCTTAACAATTGCACTATGAAGTTTTTGCCCAAAACAGGTGTGCAGTGCAGGGGTTAATGAAAAGGCTAACATTACCTTGCTCTTTAACGGATTGTCTTGAATATGGATTACTTCGTTCTGTGATAATTCTGCTGGTAAAAGCCATAAATTCCTGAACTGATCCACGCTGAAAATAACCAAACTGCTGAACATCATAAGCCGCCTTAAGTAAGTGTGCTTTCTCTGATCCCTTATATAACACACACACTGCAAATAACTTGACCATCCTGGAAATCTGCAAGTTAAAAAAATAAACATTAGTGATGACACAAATTCAAGGCATATTTTATATATATATATATATATATATATATATATATATATATATATATATATATATATATATATATATATATATATATATATATATATATATATATATATATATGCGCGAACAAGCCTGAATGGTCCCCAGGACTATATGAGTTTTCATTATTCATATATATATATATATATATATATATATATATATATATATATATATATATATATATATATATATATATATATATATATTTTTTTTTTTATATATAGGGTATATATATATATATATATATATATATATATATATATATATATATATATATATATATATATATATATATATATATATACCCTATATATATAAAAAAAAAAAAAAAAAAAAAAAAAATTATATATATATATATATATATATATATATATATATATATATATATATATATATGTCGTACCTAGTAGCCAGAACTCACTTTTTGGCCTACTATGCAAGGCCCGATTTGCCTAATAAGCCAAGTTTTCCTGAATTAATATATTTTTTCAAATTTTTTTCTTATGAAATGATAAAGCTACCCATTTCATAATGTATGAGGGCAATTTTTTTTATTGGAGTTAAAATTAACGTAGATATATGACCGAACCTAACCATCCCTACCTAACCTAACCTAACCTATCTTTATAGGTTAGGTTTGGTTAGGTAGCCGAAAAAGTTAGGTTAGGTTAGGTTAGGTAGGTTAGGTAGTTGAAAAACAATTAATTCATGAAAACTTGGCTTACTAGGCAAATCGGGCCTTGCATAGTAGGCTGAGAAGTGCGTTCTGGCTACTAGGTTCGACATATATATATATATATATATATATATATATACCCTATATATAAAAAAAAAAAAAAAAAAAATATATATATATATATATATATATATATATATATATATATATATATATATATATATATATATATATATATATATGTCGTGCCTAGTAGCCAGAACGCACTTCTTAGCCTATTATGCAAGGCTCGATTTGCCTAATAAGCCAAGTTTTCACGAATTAATTGTTTTTCGACTACCTAACCTAACTTTTTTGGCTACCTAACCTAACCTATAAAGATAGGTTAGGTTAGGTTAGGTAGGGTTGGTTAGGTTCGGTCATATATCTACGTTTTTTTAACTCCAATAAAAAAAAATTGACCTCATACATAATGAAATGGGTAGCTTTATTATTTCATAAGAAAAAAATTCGAGAAAATATATTAATTCAGGAAAACTTGGCTTATTAGGCAAATCGGGCCTTGCATAGTAGGCTGAGAAGTGCATTCTGGCTACTAGGTACGATATATTATATATATATATATATATATATATATATATATATATATATATATATATATATATATATATATATATATATATATATATATATTATATATATATATAAACATATTTATTTTGTCATGTGAATCCCCTGCATAGGAGTGGAACTGCCTTTTCCCTTCACCTTCAATGCCTCTGCACTGGAAGTATACATCTACACCAGTCCAGATGAGTCATCGGTCCTGCCACCTCTCCATACCTCCCAGGGCCTGGCACGGCCTGGTATGACTCAGAGGCAAGCTGGGTGCCTCTGCTAGCCGGTAGTTTTCCCCCCACAAACAAGCAGTTAGCCACCTTCAACTGACAGTGATGCAGCTCAACACAAAGGCACTGCCAGCCACAACGAGCAGTTTGCTAGTTGACCAGAGGTCCACCTTGCGTTGACACTGGATGACTCATCACCGCCGGACTATATAAAGGGCGCTGCCTCCCTGGAGAGCCAGTCTCTCCCTTAGTGCTCTAGGATCACCTACATGTCTCTTACCCGTCGTCCGCCTTCAGCCAACGTCGTGTGACTGATGCCATGGTGGTATGGTAGCTGTCTTCGGTACACCAGTATATCTTTATGCTTTTATTCATTGCTTATACTGTAGTTTATTTTTACATTTAAGATCATACTAACTTGTTCACTGGGGCATTTATGTTCATTAATATTTCAGTAATTTGTTTAATTATTTATTCGATGATTTTTATTTGTTTCCACCTGTGACTTACACACTGCAAGACCAATAGTAGCATTTTTGTTTTATTATGTGCAGGAGAGCCATACCATCTTGGTTCAGTTTTGTATATTAATACATCTTCAGAAGGTTGACTCTTTCTGAAGATGTATTAATATACAAAAGTACTTTAGGAAATTCCTGTTTCAATTTTCCTCTGTGGTCTGACACTGTCATATATATATATACCTGGATACACCTGTTGACAATTTCGAGGGTCAGTGTACCCGCCGCCTGTTCCATGCTCAGGCTGTTCTACATTGCTGCTCGCAGCACATGTCCTGCATACACAAGAGGATTTGCAAATGGATTTTAAAACCCACCTAAAGTTACGCAACTTCACCTTGCCCAATCCAAACTACCCTAACCAAACCCAACCAAGCCTAACCTAAGCTTATACATCCTAACCTAATAACATATATACATTTTAACAGAAAATGATCTTTGTCAAATGATCAAGTGCACTTTCTGATCATACCCCCTTAGCGGATACCAAGTCTAAGATACCTATAGTATTTTAACCACACGGCCTGGCTGCCACACCGCCATAAATACCTACATAACTCTCCAGATGTTTAAGGAGGAAGCCTGTGGCTGGTCACTGTCATCACTGTACCCTGAGCACGGCCTGCCTGGCCAGGTCTGAGGCTTAGTGCAATTACCTAAAATAAACATTTCCACTGTGATTTGAAACTTGAACCGCTTCCTTACTTGTATTTCTGTTTAGTAAATAGTGGTTTGAGTTGGAATGAGAAGAGGAAGCCTTCTTGACGGGCGCATGAGAGACTTAGTCATCGAAGGTAACAGCTGATGCACACAACTCCAAGCTACATAATAAGGGAAGAAGCAGAGTGGCGGCAGCGTCGCTGAGGAATCCACACCCACTCTGGACCTCCCGCCAACCCCATAATAAATACTCCCAAGCAGTACTGGAATGCAACAAGTCTTCCGATCCCTCTATAAATTATGAGCTTAGAATTTAGGATATGCCTTATTCTATCGTCTATAATATAATATTATTAATTTTTCCATGTTATTGTAAAAATGATTTGGAAGAGATGATGCAAGAAATGGGCGTGATGGGCGTCTCGGGGAGGGTGAGATAAGGGTGCGAGGGTGGTGGAGGGCGGCGCCGGGGGCGGCCTCGCAGGGACTAGTTCGCTGGTCGGCGTCGCTGGGGATCGATCGTGGGAGTGGCGCGGCTCATCAGCTGGTCACTAGCAGCTAGGAGGAGGGGGACTATTTTCCTCATTGTTATCCGCTCCCTAAGTCCAGTTTACACTCCTAAATACTGCAACATGACAATTTAATGTGTACTTCGTGTGTTTAGTTCATTATGTTGTGTTAGGACGGAAGTGGGATTAAATAAGACGCCGACCTTTTTCATGTGCCCGTTATTCTGAACAAGACGAACAGTTTCACAAGATACTATGAGGAGCATCTAATTGGGGAACAGGGTTATAGGTGAGTACCGAGATTACCAGTTTGCAGTGTGCTCAGCCCTTTGTATAGACAGTAAACACGGGGCAGTATTATGCCGTGAACATGTGGCACTGTGGTTATTTACGCGAGGCAGCAGTGCCTGTGGCCGCCCCGTGTGTGTATGTGTGTGTGTGTGTACCCTCTACAACGCACACACACTCACATCTCAGCCCAACACGATGTTATCTACTTATTTATTCATTGACTGATTCATTTGTTTATATACAAGAAGGTATATTGAGTACGTGAGAGTATATAAACACTGGTTCTCTTACAGTCTTTGCCAAGTCACTAACACGCATAGTGTTTTTGGCCAGTTATCGTCGGCTCGGGGACACAAATAGCCACTTTGTTCACTTAATTGTGTGTACGCGAACCCTTTGGTACGTACATGTGTGTGTATGTGAACCCTTTGGTACGTACATGTGTGTGTATGTCCGGGGTCAGGATGTGTAAGTGTCAATGTGTAGGATGTCAACTCCCAATGTGGCTGAGAGTTGTTGTAGAAACAGGTTCGTGACCCTGTCAAAGCAAGAGAGACATAAAGATGTGTGTGTGTGTGTATCTGCAACAAGAATCACAAAAACAATGATCTAAGTATACATAATTTTTTTTTTTTTAAGAATTAATGACTGCTGAACGCGTTTTTGGCTCAATTAACCATCATCAGAGTAAGATAAAGATATGTATTGTTACAAGTAAGGCTTTCGTAGAACGAAATTCGATTGAGTCAGCTCTGATCAAACAATGGAACAACAGCCTTAATGTAAGCCCTGGCATGTACAGATTCGGTCCCCATACAAGTTGCAATGTATCCGTCCGTATAATGTAGCATCCATTTAACCTTTTTTGGGGGGAGAAGGGGAGTTTTCCAATTGCTGTGCAATATTGTAACTTAAAAATGGGTCAAGTTTGTATATACCAATACTAACATTGAGAAGATTTGGACACTGATTAGGGCAGACTCAATCTAATTCCTTCCAACAAAACTACTGCAAATTGGTAATGCTTTTTGCTCCTCCCCAATTAATAGTGTGATCACACAAACGTGTGTATATACAATGCACTAGATGTTTGGGCAGTTCTAATACTATAAGCATGTTGGGACAAAAGAAATTGTAAGGCTTTTCCGGTTTGTCCGTGGTACACAAACTCGCAATAATTGCAGGGAATCGAAAACACACAACCTGCTAAACCTGGGGAATTTTGTATTAAATTGGACTTGATTGTACCATTATTGAGCACAAAATTGATATTAAGGTATCGTGTATGTGTGTGTGTGTGTGTGTGTGTGTGTGTGTGTGTGTGTGTGTGTGTGTGTGTGTGTGTGTGTGTGTGTGTGTGTGTGTGTGTGTGTGTGTGTGTGTGTGTGTGTGTGTGTGTGTGTGTGTGTGTGTGTGTATATATATATATATATATATATATATGTGTGTATATCACGAAAATAAACACGTGATTAAGAATGTGACAATGTCACAATATATATATATATATATATATATATATATATATATATATATATATATATATATATATATATATATATATATATATATACATACATACATACATACATACATACATACATACATACATACATACATACATACAGGGTAGATAAAGATAAACTATTTAACATGGGTGGTATGCGAACAAGGGGACACAGGTGGACACTGAGTACCCAAATGAGCCACAGGGATGTTAGAAAGAACTTTTTGCACAATCTGTGTACCAGTTGATTGACAGTTGAGAGTTGAGACCAAAGAGCCAGAGCTCAACCCATGCAAGCACAACTAGGCGAGTACAGGCTTCCTGTCCCCAACAAAACAAATTACCATATTATAATTATTTAGGATAAAACCCACACATGTGTATTGTACTGTATTTGTGTATTTTATATAAGATTTACATCAAGTCTTTCACACACTCCTCATTGTTTTATCATGGTCTGAGTGTATGGTTAGAACAAGACTTACATCTCAACAACTCATACCAAATAATAATAATTATTATGTCATTATTAATAAGCATGATACAGTATTTAGATTGTTGGAGTACAATGTATGAACATCAGAGGTCCACATATGTTCAATATCCTCCCATCAAGTATAAGAAATAATGATGGAACAAAAGTGGAATTTTTCAAGGAAAAAACTGGACAGTTTTCTGCAAGATGTGCTGAACCAGTCGGGTTGTAGTGGATATGTGGGCCTGCGGGCTGCCCCAAGCAATGCCTGTTTGAACCAAGCTCTCACAAGTCAAGCTTGGTTCTGGGCCGAGTTTAGAGAGTAGAAGAAATCCCAGATCTCCATCCATATACAGTTGACTCCATTCCCGACTCATAATTGGGGATCCCAGGTTTGATTCCTGGAAGGGACAACCACATTGCAACCGGAGATGCCTCCAGGATGCATTTTCCATCCCCTGTGGCTAATATCACTTGGCAAAACTTTAATATCAACCTATAAAATGATAAACTACAAAGTGAACATGTCTGAAAAGAAATATAACCACATCTAGCTTATTTCTCACGTCCCTAGCCTCAAAACTCATTTTCAAAAGGTAGCAGGGGCCATACCTGAGTTAACACCTTACCTACTCAAAATTAAAATGAATTAAAGGATTTGGTTTTAAAAGCCCTCAATAGCTTTCCAAGGCTCTGTTTCTTTTAATGTTGCATCCATCTGTTATTCCCTAACAATCCCCATGGTGTGCAGGATAAATTAACTAAAAAGAATTGTTTTCCTTTTAATATTGTTAAAATGCTTTTCCTGATTACAGGAAAACAAAAAATTGTATGAGTTACTTTTGCCATGATGGAGTTAGGAAGTTTGACAATTTACAGGCATTCCACCGCAATCTGCCTCAGTCCTGCCAGCCATGAGTGCAGGACTGCTCCTCGGTGCAGCGTAATGTTGTGTACCTGAGCTTTTAATAAAAACAAATTTTAGGAAGAGAGCGCAGCTCAGTGTTTCCTTGCGGCGGGCCCGGAAGACACCACCCGCGCGTACTGCTCCAACCTTTACCACACGACAAAACCATATAGAATGTTCTCAAAATCTAGGTCAAGCTCAGTACAACCACACTATACAAATAATTATAAAATAGGATTACATAGATGTAAATTTGATAATAAAAACAAAATGGCATCGGTGACGCAAGCAGCAGGTCTCGTGACTTACAGCAAGTCACGTGAACAGCAAACACTTTTGAATGTGTTATATTTGATTTTCTTGTGGACTAGTAGGGGTGGGGATAATTAGTGTAGTAAAAGGTGTACTTTATATTTTAGCATAATACAAACTTAAACTAGTTTATTCCGGACGTGACGAGCACTTTTAATTCTGTTCTCAACTCGATGACGTCATGCTCAAGTTTTTGCATGTTCGAAGGTCGTAACCTATTTTCATGGTCGGATCACGTTAACCACTATATTTTGTTTATATAATAAGGAAATTTATAAAATAAGTTTTTCAGAGACACTATTAAGTGAACGTTAAATTAAGAACTTGTATATACAGGTTAGCGGACAATATCGAGGCCGGATGTGGCAGTTGCCAAAGGCACAAGTTTGGCTTTGAAAAGGAAAGTAGCGTACTAACTCTTCACAGTTGTATGGTAGTTCTTTTTCTATTTTAAAAATGGACTACTGTACAAATAAACATTTCAACTTGTTTTGCATAAGGAAAGCTCGCTGAATTTAGCAGTAACAAATGAAACCAAAGTTGTCACGGATGCCTGGATAAGATAATGATTGGCAGCTGGTATGCAGGTGATAGCCAGAGTTGGGTTGAGTTAGTAGATTGGTGGGAGGGTCGGACGATTGATGGGAGGGGGGCTGTCATAAGGGTGACATTCCTATCGTTTAGTGCAACAGCCACAGTTCGTAACTGCCATACTGTATCCAATATCCCGTATGATGTGTTACTAGCAAATGTTTAGTTTCCTGGTATTCACTCTAGGCCAAGGCCACACATATTGTACTGGAACCCAAAGGAGATTTTTCCTCTACGTGTAAAAGCAAGAAAACTATTCAGTAGGCACAATATTTAAGAGTAATGTTAATTCAGCCAATGTGATCTATTTTCAAGAAAACTCTAGGCTAGGCACTCATTCATATTTGTCGTTCGAGTCATTATGGGGAGTGGCTGGGACTTGTGGATCTAGGTTTAAAGTTTTTAAAGAGGAGAAACTCGGTATTTTTGGCATATAGCGCCTAGGGTGTTAGAGTTACGGAGATCGCTCTTCTTCTATGTTGGTAAATCATACTTGGTTTCCTGTAATATTGAGCTTTGGTCTCCCGTTTTTCCAGTCATACCGTTAATTGCCTTAAGACGGAGTAGCTGTGGGACGTTTTTCAGTTTAATTTTGTGTTTAGAAATTCGCTTAGTTGTGTGCATCAAAACTTGTACATGTTCCGCCCGTTCTGTGAAAGGATCAGATTGCATATTATACTTGGTTTTTGTTGGTATTTATTTTACCTTGTCGGAAAACGTTGGACTTCCTCAAACTAACATTACTTTCCGTTGCCATTGGAAGATTGTACTCACATCCCATTATTATTGTTTGATGTCCTCCGTGACAATTTTCACAGCTTCGTGTCATCATTTCCAGATCGTTATATACTTGAGACTATTCTTACCCGAGGACCACACAACTCGAGTTCCACTCACTGAAATTGCTCCTCGTAACTTTACCCGAAGTTCATAGAAACATTCTGGTGCCAAGTGACGTTAAACAAGATGAACGTGCTGCAGATTCTACTTGCACTTGAGCATCAGTCGAGATACACAGGTTGCCTGCAGGCCTACCCATTTTTTTTTTTTGCAAGTTGAGCTGCTGGTATACGAAAACGGCATTACACAGAGAAATATATATATTGCATGTACTCTTGCAAGGGCAGATGGGCTACGTGACACGTGAGCTTGTCACCTTCATATGCATTGCATAATTTTGATACTACAGAATTATATCTTGATATT